TTGTCTGCTAAATTACCAGATTTTATTTTAAAATTAGAACTCAGTTGAACTTTGAAGTGTGCATATTGCTTTTCCATTCTGCTGCTTTCTTTGCATTTGCAAAAATCCCAGTATCCCGAAAATATGTGAGTAGCACTTTATAAATAAGTGTTTCAGAGGATCACAGGCATCAGTATTGAAGCACAGTCTTCTAAACCAGAAATCTAAGAACAAAATACCTGGATATTTTCCAAAACCTTATCTTCAGGTGGTAGTAAAAGAGTTACAAGCCTGTAATACTAGTACCTAGGAAAAGTAATTCAGAAGTAATACTAAAAGGGTATCTTTTATTACTTAATATAAAAAATAGCAAATAATTTTTCCGTAATTAAAACCAAACATCTATCACCTGTCCAGTTAAAGGTAAAACAATACATTTCCTACAAGATGGAATTTTCTACGAGACACGAAAACTTCACTGCACAGACTAGCAACAACTGATGCTGCACACATCTAAATTAGGAGCAGGATGGGAGGATAGTGCTCTGCTACACACACCCCATGCACCGTTCTGAGGGGTTGTTTTGGCACACAACATAGGAGCCCCAGCTGAAGCTCATCTACCTGCTGGGCAACACTCCTTCCTTCCTGGCCAGCCCTGCTCAGGATATTGCTGCTGCCCTATGCATCACCTGAGCAGGTTCACAGTGGCCTCATTCAGGGGAGGCAATATCCTGCCAACAGGTTACCTCTTCCCTACCCAGACACCAGTTTTCTATAAAGCTGTATGAGCTTCACTTCACTGTGATGACCATCCCTAGCAATTAGTTGTAGTCATCCAAAAGAACCAAAACTTGTTTCAAACCTCCAACTTACTCTCCTTCCCTTCTCCAAATAAAGACACATAAGCCAGCCACAACAGAATATCAACTCTAGTCCACAATGAACAGCTTCCTTCCAATTAAGACCAAGACAAACGTAACTTTTCATATAACAAGACACTTTCAGAGATAATTAGCTGCGTATGAAATGTGTTTGGACAGGTCAATTGTTCATCTTCCCTAAATACCTTGCAGCTGTGAGAATACAGCAACTTATCACATCTGCACTATCAAATCAAACAAGTCAGGAAACATGCTCTACCTATTACTGAGGCATTATATTCTCTTAGTTTATGTAAGGACAACAGCAGTGGTTCCTCTGCATGGATTTACTGAGAGTGAAAAAAACAGAAAATGAAACAGCCTTCAGTATTAGTTGACTGGATCATTCATTTTTGTAACTAGTGATATTTAGATGCTAATCCCAGTAAGCCAGGTCACTTCTGGTAAGTAAACTGTTTGTAGGGACTTGGGAGAAAGATTAGTATAACTTGGTAACTGCAAGTTTTAGAAATCCAACAGCCCCTTAAAATTTCTTAAAAGTAAAGAGAGGGTTTAGTAGATCTGTAAAAGTAGCCCTTGCTCCATCTTTCCACCATTAGTTTTGCTCTTCTGCTGTCTGGACTGCTTCTTTACCTCTCTTATCTCTGTGCAGAGAGAAAGAATTCTGGAATTGTGAACCCTGCAGCTTTTGACTTTGAAACATTTCATAGTGTTTGTATAATACAACTCAGTGTCCAAAAGTAAGGCCACAGAAGGGTTTAAGCTACAGGTGCCCAGCCATAAAGACTTGTTAGAAATGTCAGCCAGTCACCTCTACTGCTGGTATTCTGCTTCCTGGAGGATACTGTGATTTATACTGTATAAATCATAGATAATGATATACACTATAATCATATCATATTTTAGTACATATTCGTGTATGCCCATGATTCATCTTCAGCTTCCTTAGACATGGAACAAATCTCATCTCATTAGGATGTGCGCCCAAAGGCACCACCATTTCTAAATTAAGTTACTTACTGCATATTCAGCATTAATACATAAACACACTGATTGAAACAGCTACGTTCAGGACTGCTCTCCTGTCCTGGTGATCAGGCAGAACTGATTAAGCCCACAATTTTCATTAATTGTGCTATACTGATATCTGATTCCAAGTACAGACATCAGCTATCTTCTAGAAACTTGCAAACATCTCTTTTGCTCACAACAGGCAGGCAACAAGCCCAGGTATGGTTGCTCAACCTAAACCTCCAACACTGCCTTGAAACTGAACTTCTGTATTTCAGATAACCAGTGTCTGAACATCTGAAGGTCCATGACAGAGGATGACAGCACCATGCTCTTCCTTTGGTGCTGGCTCCCTTACACCAGAAACCTCCTCCAGGACTACCCAAGCCTGAGCCCCTGCAATGCAACCCCCACGACCAACAGTCTGGGTCAGCCAGCAGCTCCGAGCTTTAAAGGAGCCAAACCTCTCCTATGCTTTTTTGCTTTCACTCTTTGCCTGTATCCCAGCCTGAGGCTCTCACACAAACTCATCTCCCACCCTGCCTTCTGTGTGGCCCTTCAACACAACCGAGCTGCAAACCCAAAGGCAGTGTGCCTGGGCTCATTTCTGTGATCAGCTGCCTTGGAGCAGCTTCCGAAGTCTCCCCAGGAGAAAGGGAGACACAGGGAGCATGGACTGCAGCTAACACCAGGGAGCAAAATGCATCGTGTTCCCAAGCTGCCCACAATTGCACTGTGGGGGAAGGACACTTCACAGCAATCACTCTGCTACAAAGTGATCTCCCCAACAGTGAGGATAAGAGTCTTCTGAACCTTCACATAATATATTCAGTGGGGCTGCCATTAACTCAGTCTGAGGAAAAAAGATCTGAGACTAGAGTCACAGCAGAATGCAAATACTGAAATTTTTACAGGTTAGCTAAACAATTTAAGAAATGGGCAGCAAGGATAATTCCTTTGCTCTCTTATTTTCTGTTTCAAAAATAAAATTCTGCAATACCTTTTCAATGTGTTCTTGCACAAATCTTTGTATTCCCGCCCATACAGCAAGAGCTTAACTCAATATTGCTACACACATAGTTAGGCAAGTTGGGCTTTGTCTACCTGGCGACACCAAGTTTTATTGCTGCAATTCATCACAAGGCAGCATTTTAAGGGGAAAGGTAGGTATTAAAAAAGCACCAGTCCTAGAAAAGAAATTCTAGAACTGTCACAAATACCAAGAATTATTAATGTACCTGTAAGTTTCTCCAAAAGAACAAACTCTAAGTTGTTTCTGCAACTATTACAATCACCCACTGAGGTCACAGTTATTTCTTTAAAAATGCATATTGAGAGTGATACAGGTTACCAATCATGCAAAATATGCCTTCTCATGAAAAAGGAAACTGCAGCTACCACTACATTCAGTCATGAGCACATTAAGGGATGTGCAATGCTGCCCACGGATTCAGTGTTCCAGTCCTGCCTGTACCGAAGCAGTTAGGGAAAAGTAACCAAACCCAGTCTGCTTTTCCTGGGCTTAGCTGCACATTGAGGACAACCTCTACATCCAACAACAAGAAATAATTTCTCACAAAAAGCTAAATGAAAAGAAGAAGCCTTACTGCTGAGCTGTGAGAGACCTTTTTTTCCCTTAACTACTGTATGAAAGGAAGTACCAGGACATCTCAGCAAGAGGAAGATACATGAGAATCAACACAGGCTGACATTCAACTTGTTGAACTGTGACTACACAGCTACACAAAACATGTAAAAAATGTCTGGACAGGAATTCTATAGGAGGTAGAAGACCAACTGAAGCACATAGACATTGCTGTAGATACTGTACATTTTATCCTGATTCTTTACAGAGAAAGGCTATGCAGCCATTTGTCTTTGCTGCATAAGTTAAGCACATACACCAGTTTAGTCAGGAATTCTATAGGAGGTAGAAGACCAACTGAAGCACATAGACATTGCTGTAGATACTGTATATCCTGATTCTTTACAGAGCAAGGCTATGCAGCCATTTGTCCTTGCTGCATAAGTTAAGCACATATACCAGTTTAGTTCAAACGTTGCAAAGTAACAGAGATCTAAAATATTTCCAGTTGTAAGAGATCAAAGACTTGACAGACACAAATGAATCTGTAGACAAATTAATGCAATGGACTTATTCAAAATCAAGGCATATTTATATGAGCTCAAGACATGGACTTCACAGATTGCTGGCAGCCAAAGTAATTCCTGCAGGTACCATCTTCCAGCCCACTGATGGCAGATGAACACTGGAAGACAATGACCGGGTAAAGGGAGATCTGGCTCAGGTCACTGAACATGATGGAGATGAAGACAACACGACATTGGGTAGACATACCAACTCTCAGAAACACTTGCTGTCCTGAGTATACCTTCAGTAATGGACCTTTACATTAAAGGTATCTTACAGATTAACGAAAAAGGCTTCTCTAAAAACTGTAACACGAAAGGTAGATCTGAGAGAGATCTGGCTGTCTGAACGGAGGAAAATATGTAAGGATGGAGTGAGGATGTGAGGCAAGAAAACGGAGGAAATGCAAATCAGTCCACGCTAAAACAGAGGGGATTTTTTGCAACATCGTGCTTTCCTCAGCATGCACTTCTCTAATCTTTATACTACACACAGTAAGAAAAACCCTGCAGTTTGCTGGGGGCTGCTGGAATCCCTCCGAGGGTAAAACCCAAACACGCTTGCTACACAAGTCCCTCGGCACCCTGCAATGCGATGAATGTGCAGCGGCGCGACTCGTGCCCCTCTCCAGGCCGTGCCCCTCGGCGGCTCCATCGGGATCGGGGGCCCGGGGAGGGCAGCGGCGGGAGCAGAGGCAGAGCCGCCGGCAGCAGGGGCAGAGCGCGGGAACAGCGACCGCGACCCCGCTCACCTCCACGGCCGCCGGCTCCGCCCCACCAAGGCCCGGGGAAGCACCAGGGACACTCGGACCCGGCAGCCCGGCGGTACCATCCCGGAAACCTCTCCGAAGTCGGGCATCACCCCGCCATCCCTCGCAGCAGCCGGGCATCATCCTGGGCACCCCCCCCACCCCTGCTGCAGCCCCGCGGCAACGCCCCCAGTGTCCGGGACCACCGGCCCCTCCCGCCGCTCACCAGCTGCTTCAGGTCCTCCTCAGAGAGCCCGGCGTAGCGGTACCGCTGCTGCTCGAACTCGTACCGCGTTGTCTTCACCACCACCACCACCCGCGACGGCCGGAACCCGCCCCCCGCCGCCCCCGACCCGCACGGCGCGGCCCCCGCCGCCCCCCGCCCGGCCGCCGCCGCGGAGGGGCTCAGCCCACCGAGCGCGAGTAGGCGTCGGTGCGCGCCGCCGAGCAGTGGCAGCCACGGAGGGGCGGAGGAAGCCGCCGCCCGCTGGCAGAGCAACGCGGAGCGGCGAGCTGCCGCCCGGCCAGCGAGGCGGAGGCGGCCGCAGGGGAAGCCCCAAGAGAAGAACATCTCCCGGGCTCTGCGCCGCTCCCCGGAGCGGGCGCGGCGCTGCCGGCGGCGGCTGCGGCCGCTCTGCGGCGGCGCCCGGCACACATGGCCCGGCCGCGCCCGCCGCCCCGCCCTCCCCGCGCGCAGCCGCCGGCCCCGCCAATAGCGAGCCGCGGCGCCGGATACCCGCCCCTTTTGAGGGCGGGGCCTGGGCGCTATACCAGGCGCGTGCGCCCTCCCTGGCCAACAGGGGCACAGCGCGCTGTGCGCGCGTGCCCCACCCCGCGCTCCGGTGAGAACCGCCTGCGCATGCGTAGAGGAGAGCCCCACCTCCTCTCCCCGCTCCCCTGCTTGGCCCCGCCCCGATTTCTGGTGGCGCGCGGGACGGGGCTCGCGGCACGTAGGCGGCGCGCGGCGGGCGGATGTCGTCGCGCCCCGTGCTCCGGCCGCCGTGAGGGGTTCGGGACCGACCCCCGCCGTGAGGGGACAGTGACAGTGTGCTCAGTGCTTCCCGCTGCTGCCCAGTGCTTCGTCCAGTCCCAGGGCACAGCGACAATGCCACCAGTGCCCCACTAGTACTCTTAAAGTCCTGGGAGGCAGCGATAGTGTTAAAGAGATAAAGAGGGAGAAATTACTTGGTGTTAGATCTCGTGTGTGGAAATCTCACGTGTTGCTGCTCCTGTCCTCGGTCTTTGTGATAGCTTTTACAGCACCGCAGAAAGGCAAATACGAACTGATAATTGTGCATTAGCGAAACTTCAGATAGCTTTGGGGAATAGACGGGAATTCTGAGACCAAGGAGTGTTCCGAGACTAAACAGTGTTCCTAAACAGTGTCCCCCACGGCCGCGGGACAGCGAGCGCGCTCTCCTTGCCTGCTTGGTGCCGCCCCGCTGGAGCAGGGAGTGCGGGTCGGCACCAAGCAGGCTGTGGAAGGAAGTCAGGGGGAGTTGCCTGGCTGGGGCTGGCCTGCTTCCCTGGGAAACTGGCGGGGGAGGGGGAAATACTTTCAGAAAATAATACAGAAAGGTGGGAAAACACAGCACGTGCTGTGTTTTAGAAGGACTAAATACTGCATCTGGGGCGGAGAGCTGGTGTAGCTTTAAAGCTCTTTTTGTTATCCATGCCTGTTCTGGTCTTTTTGTGACATTTGCCAGTGTCAGGAAGGGCAGAAAAGACCTGGCTGCAGCATTGCAAGACAGCGTCTGGCGAGTCTAGGTAAAAATAAATAAATAAATAAAATTATCGATCCTGAGTTACTTTTTAATGTTGTAAGCAAGCTGTCCAGAAATCCTGTGGGGGTTTGCATAATTATCAATAACTGCATGCACAGGCATCGACTGCGACAGATGGTCCTTCTGCACTGAAGGCTTCACTTAGACACACATTTCTGGTTACTCACCTAGTTCCTCATCTTCCCTGGGGGAAGGGATTGAAACAGCAACTCCTGCCTGTCAATGCAGGAGCACTCTACAGTGCTTTGCCAGGAGTCTTAGGAAATAAGCATAGCTGCAGCCATTCTGTTCTTCCCACAAAACAAAGGCTTTCTCCAGTCTTTGCTGGTGCGTAGGAGGATTTTTTGTCTACTGATTAGCTTAGCCTTGAAGGAAAATATCACAAAACAGATTACCAGGAAACCAATTAAACATAACTAATTCCCTTGCTAACCAGAAAATGCCTCATTCTGTATAACCATTAACTTTTAGGTTGTACAAAGCAGTAGGTAATACAACATCCTGGAGACCTAAAAGATATAAGAGATTTCGAAAATTTATGACTCTGTTTTGAATGGTATCTATTTTATAACTTAATTGACCATTTAGCTGCTCCTCTAAGATTTTGTGCTTTGTGTATTGTCTATTTATATTGAATTGTTTTGATTTTTGAAAATCAAATCAGTTTCAACCATTAAGTTTGAATATGGAATAGTATTTTATTCTGAAGTAGTGCAATTAACATGTTATGGTCTTTGGAATTAATTAACACAGCAAGCTTATTGCATAAAATATGAAATATGTATTTAAAAATGTAAATTCAAATCAGTAGATGATTAAAGTTCTGGAAACAATGCTGAAGCACAGGCTATGAAGTAATTAATACAGAGTTCCCAGAAGGAAGTCTCTGACAGGCTAGCTCTTTGTCAGAGTACACAGATTGTCTGATACCCCATTGTCTTTGTGAAAAGGATTTAACTTTCTATAACATATGAAATACAGTTTGTTGAATATTACAGTTTGCATCTTACTTTATAAATGGACCTACTTACAAAATGTTCAGTAGTATGTAGTGTTAGACACTACATGCACTACTAACCCCTCCTTCACTACAATTCTTGATTTTGCTGATATACAGCTAGAAGACACACATATCTGTCAAACGACCCTTTACCTATTTTGAGATATATTCAGTTTGTGAAAAATGACATGTCTTCATGCCCCATTTTCAATGTATTTAAAACAATATACCCAGTAGATTAAGGGACAGATTAATTCATGGAAAATTAAACAAATAAATACAGGCATTTAAACCTGGTATCCTTGTAGGACACAAATGTGGTCTAGGAGCGAACTTCCACTGTAACAACTTTTTGAACCAAAACCAGCTTTAGTTTGGGCATAGAGTACTTAAAAATTCTTCATGGAAACAGATGCTTCAAAATTGCCTGAAGTTAGAAAAATGCTTCAGAGAAATGCCCATTTTAGGGCACCAAGGAGTTATTATTTACATGAGGTAAATTTCAAAACACAGATCCATAGAAAACCAGGCATCCTTAGCTCTATATGCTTCAAGATATATTGTGAACTTAAAATAATACCTATGTTATACACAAAATATTCAGTGCAACAAAGTAACTGGAAAAATTACTACATAAACAATAAATTATTCCCTAATTTCACTAGCTGCAAAACTGGTAATGCACAACTGTGCCAGCTGTTTTATATCTCCATATGTAGCCTATTTCCACCCAGAAGAATGTGTATGTTTCTTGTAGTGCAGTTACAATCTGGGACAACTATTCATTTCTACTCCTTCTTGAAGTCTTTGAATAATGGCTTCTTGTGATATTTTAATTAATAACAAGTATATAATTAACTTATCAAATTATTTGCATTGACTAGACTTACTCTATGTGCCACTGGTAACAGAAAATGATTGTGGTTTGTTTGTGTTTAATATGGTGATGCTCTCAGTGTTTGGTGCTTTCACAGGGGATGAGGTAAACACACCACCACTGTAACATTTCACAAATCCAAGTCCTCGGATTTTGAGACCAGCTGACCACAGCTGTTAATTCTTATAATCCAGAGGAAAATTCCAGACTAAAGCTTAGAGAGCATCACTCATGCAACACATCAGAGTCACATAGATTAATGTATTAGCAAGTGTAGTCTGATAGAATTTCTGATCACAGATCCTATCCATGTGCTTGCACTTCTCTTGCAATGTATGTACCCTCATCACTGATTGCATAGTTCAGTTATGTAATTTAGTCATGTAATTTATTTCAGAAATTCCAAATTACAAAATCAAGGAGGAAGCTTAATCAAAAGCATAGTAAGTGGAGCTATTCTTATCAATGCAAATTACTGATTTTTTTACACAAAACCAGTGAGAGGAGCAAGCTTTCTTGTCCACACTTCCATTAGAACTTATTTTAATTATCAGAGATTTACTTTTCTACTTTTCTTCCCACTCTTTGCTTATGCAAAGCAAACTACACCATCCCTCAAGTAGTCTAATACAATTGACTTCAACATTTCAGAAGCAATTTGAATATGCTCAAACAACTGCAGATACCTCATTTTATACTAATAACTTTAGTGTTTGTGAAACGCAAACTGTTCTGATTTGAAGTCCACTTTTTAGACAGAGAACTGCTGTAGAATGGGCCGTGCACGCTTTTTCTAAGTTTTTCTGCCAGCATGTCCCCATGGTAAGGCCTCTAAAACCCATCTAAGGGAAATGAGGATGCTCTTTCCCTCCCTGTCCATGTCATAGTGGTTGTCACCAGCAGTGAAAGCAAATGTGCCAGAAGTTTTTCCTGTATTTGTTTATTCAATAGAGATATTACCTAACTCTTAACTTCACACAGTCTGCCAGAACTGTTTCAGAGGTCACTAAAGAGCAGGACATAAAAACCTGAGGAACAATGTTTATGAAGGGATACAAACACCTCCAAAATGTAAAGTAGGACATTCAGTCTGTCCCATCCAAGAATATTCTGCTAGAAGTTCCTAATCTTAGTAGAATATATTATTAGGAACTGTTAGTTTTCCCTTCTTGGGAAAATTACTGTATGAATATATAAGATCTTCCAGATCTACATGCCTTATGTATATAAATTTGTCACTGGGGTTTCTTATAAATAGATAGAAATTTATCTGAAAAAAAAAAATCATGTCTAATTTCATATGGGCTCATAAGTGTTTCATATTGGATCATGTCTCTACACCTCTCTTCAGGCCACAGGGACCTATCCCTCCATACTCTGTTTCTCCTCCATCTCAGAAAGTGCTGCAGCTTGTACAGAAGTAGAAAAACACCACTCAGGCCCACCAGCATCACAGAAAATAGCAAGTTCACCCTGAAACTTTTTCCTCAAAGGATGCTTTTCTCTGATTTCGGTCTCTCAGCAATTGCCAATTTTCCTGAATAATTTAAATAGTCTTAGAGTATTCTAGGTCCTGTAAATTCTTTGAAACTGAACAGTGGACTCAGTGTGTGTCTGACACATAGGTGGATGGTGTGCACAACTACTTAACATACTGTTTCCTTAGGAAAGCAGGCTTGAGATTCTGCAGCATGGAACTCTTAACTCATGGAAGCTCTAACTGGGACACAAAGTAAGACTCCTAGTTACACAGAAATTTAAGTGGTAAGAAAATTGTTTATTGTTGTGGCACGGAAATTGCTCTCCAGCTGTCATAAAATGGCAAACTACATTTTTAAAACCAGTAATCCATTACATAATGGTGTACCTTCAGGCTTAGGAACAGTGAACTTTAGTGCAGTGAGACTAAAGAGAACACATAATTAGGTTCTTAAGAGCAAAAATTTTTTCCTCTTTACCAAATGGCTTTAAAATAAGCACCTCTTTTCCTCCTCAGCTTTTGGGAGATGAAGCTTCATGTTTGAGTGTGTGTGCACATGAGTGTG